TCTCTCTCTCTCTCTCTCTCTCTCTCTCTCTCTCTCTCTCTCTCTCTCTCTCTCTCTCTCTCTCTCCCTCAGGTTGCTTAGCTCCATCAAACCTGGCTTGGTGAAGAAAATCAACAGGTTACCCACTCCCATCGCTGGCCTGGTGAGTTCAATCCTCCTTCTACCATCATTCCATTTCTCTCCTCCTCTATCTTCCTCTCCTTCCATTCCTTCTCCTCCCTCTAATGATTCCCCCTTTCCTCCCTTCATCTCCTTCGACCATCTATTCCCCCTTTCCTCCCTCCATCTAGTTTCCCTATCTTCCAAGTCCTCTCCTCCCTCCATCCATCTCCCCCGTCCTCTCACTGTACCTCTATTCCTTTCTGAATAATGTACAGTCTATTTTGTACTTTAAGTTATGCACAGATATGCAGTACAGAGACACTGCATCAATTCCCAGGCTATACGGAGACTCAAGCTCTGTCTGTCAAACAGCTGGGAACAATGAAAGGGTGTAAACCTCCCAGCAGTATTCAATTAGCAACTCTGTGTGTGTCTGTGGGAACCTGTGTGTGTGTGTGTTTCTTAGTGTGAGTAAATGCATGTGCGTGTGTATGTGGTGTGAGTGCCCCCACGTGTGTGTTTGTGTGTGTGTATGTTTCTTAGTTTGTGTGTGTGCGTGCATTCATGCATGCGTGTGTACACATGCATATGCATGTGTTTGTTTGTATACCATAGACCTTTACATACAGTGGGGAAAAAAAGTATTTAGTCAGCCACCAATTGTGCAAGTTCTCCCACTTAAAAAGATGAGAGAGGCCTGTAATTTTCATCATAGGTACACGTCAACTATGACAGACAAATTGAGAGAAAAAAATCCAGAAAATCACATTGTAGGATTTTTAATGAATTTATTTGCAAATTATGGTGGAAAATAAGTATTTGGTCAATAACAAATGTTTCTCAATACTTTGTTATATACCCTTTGTTGGCAATGACACAGGTCAAACGTTTTCTGTAAGTCTTCACAAGGTTTTCACACACTGTTGCTGGTATTTTGGCCCATTCCTCCATGCAGATCTCCTCTAGAGCAATGATGTTTTGGGGCTGTCGCTGGGCAACACGGACTTTCAACTCCCTCCAAAGATTTTCTATGGGGTTGAGATCTGGAGACTGGCTAGGCCACTCCAGGATCTTGAAATGCTTCTTACGAAGCCACTCCTTCGTTGCCCGGGCGGTGTGTTTGGGATCATTGTCATGCTGAAAGACCCAGCCACGTTTCATCTTCAATGCCCTTGCTGATGGAAGGGGGTTTTCACTCAAAATCTCACGATACATGGCCCCATTCATTCTTTCCTTTACACGGATCAGTCGTCCTGGTCCCTTTGCAGAAAAACAGCCCCAAAGCATGATGTTTCCACCCCCATGCTTCACAGTAGGTATGGTGTTCTTTGGATGCAACTCAGCATTCTTTGTCCTCCAAACACGACGAGTTGAGTTTTTACCAAAAAGTTATATTTTGGTTTCATCTGACCATATGACATTCTCCCAATCCTCTTCTGGATCATCCAAATGCACTCTAGCAAACTTCAGACGGGCCTGGACATGTACTGGCTTAAGCAGGGGGCACTGCAGGATTTGAGTCCCTGGCGGCGTAGTGTGTTACTGATGGTAGGCTTTGTTACTTTGGTCCCAGCTCTCTGCAGGTCATTCACTAGGTCCCCCCGTGTGGTTCTGGGATTTTTGCTCACCGTTTTTGTGATCATTTTGACCCCACGGGGTGAGATCTTGCGTGGAGCCCCGAATCGAGGGAGATTATCAGTGGTCTTGTATGTCTTCCATTTCCTAATAATTGCTCCCACAGTTGATTTCTTCAAACCAAGCTGCTTACCTATTGCAGATTCAGTCTTCCCAGCCTGGTGCAGGTCTACAATTTTGTTTCTGGTGTCCTTTGACAGCTCTTTGGTCTTGGCCATAGTGGAGTTTGGAGTGTGACTGTTTGAGGTTGTGGACAGGTGTCTTTTATACTGATAACAAGTTCAAACAGGTGCCATTAATACAGGTAACGAGTGGAGGACAGAGGAGCCTCTTAAAGAAGAAGTTACAGGTCTGTGAGAGCCAGAAATCTTGCTTGTTTGTAGGTGACCAAATACTTATTTTCCACCATAATTTGCAAATAAATTCATTAAAAATCCTACAATGTGATTTTCTGGATTTCTTTTTCTCAATTTGTCTGTCATAGTTGACGTGTACCTATGATGAAAATTACAGGCCTCTCTCATCTTTTTAAGTGGGAGAACTTGCACAATTGGTGGCTGACTAAATACTTTTTTTCCCCACTGTATAGTGATATTTCACATCTTGAGGCCACGTCATTGGCCTGTATCTTCAACTGTGTCTCAACTGTGTTCAGCCTCAGAGTGTACATATTATTGTACTCCACATACCAGAAGACAGAAGGGGTGTGCCCCCTCCAACCAATAGGATAAAAAGAGTCTCCCCACAACTAATTGCAGCATGTCTTTCAAGAATCTTGTGGAAATACATCCAGCTACTCATTTCACTGTCGGATGTATAGAGTTGGATATCAAAGGAGAGGAGAGGAAGGAAACTTCAAGAGACCTGCCTCATTTTTTATTTTTTATGTAGTCCATTAGAGTTGCTCTCGCTCTCTCTCCAACCTTTTCACATTCCTTTTTTTTCACTCTTGTTCTCTTAATGATTCTTTAGCTCTCTCTCTCTCTCTTGCTCTCTCTCTATCCTCTGGGGTGTTTTGGCTTGGTTTGGGTCTGCTTTGATTCGCTGAATGAAGACAACTGGTTAGCCAGGCCCAGATGTACTGGGACAGCCCTGGGATCAGTTCTTAGTGTAAAACGAGCGCGGGATTGCTGGCAACGCTGCGAGACGAGCCCCATTTCATGGTGTTAAATCATAACCACAATGTTTTGACTTTCCACACTACCTCTGCTCGACACTTTGGTCTTGGTGTATTATCGTTACCAGGCAACAAATGTAACACTATAGTAGCCCTTGTATGTCTTGAATAGATTTGTCGCTATTATGAGATGTTGGGCTTTCATCAATTCATCAAAGACTTGACTAGATTTGTCGATATTATCTTGACCAAATGTGTCGCTGTTGTGAGATGTAGGCCTTTCATAATGAACCAAGGACTGAACTGGCATGAACTAGCACACACAGGGTTCCTTCAGGACCAACGCTGAGAGACAAACAAGGCCTCTTTGAGAGTTATTAGAGAAGCGGAGAGGTGAAAGGTCAGCCTGTGTACTTCCTTCCTTCCGTCTCATACAGTACAGTAGCTCTGGCCGTCTAATAGTTCCACCTCATGTTGTCTCAGAGGGCGTTGTTTGACATGCCCCTCCACTCGCCCGCCACTCTCATGACATCAATGCAGTCCCAGTTGGTCTCCGGGAAAGCCTACCTAGAGTTTCCTGCTCAGTTCCCACTTGGCTTTGTATAGGCTCTTAGGTTGAGAGAAAGCAAGGGAGGTTGTAGAGCAGGGGTAAATAGAGTTGGATTGTTTTTATTGGCTAGCTTCTCTATGGGAGATCTAGGATCAGTTTTCCCACCCCAAATCCTAACCTTAACCATTAGTGGGGGAACATAGCACATGAGGGAAACTTATTGAGTTGTTGTGGCTATAAGACAAAATGGCACTGTGTTGTCTTTGACTGTGCTCAAGGTTAGTTAAGACTGAAGGGTAATTGAAAGAGTGCAGAAGGCATGAAGGACAGAGGAGAAGAGATGAACAGCAGCTGGATAAGAGAGAGGAAGAGAAAGAGATAAGCAGAGAAAGTATGAAAGAGAGGGGAGCTCAGCAGCTGGATGAGAGAGAGAGAGAGAGAGAGAGAGAGAGAGCGAGAGAGAGAGAGAGAGAGAGAGAGAGAGAGAGAGAGAGAGAGAGAGAGAGAGAGAGAGAGAGAGAGAGAGAGAGAGAGAGAGAGAGAGGAGAGAGAGGAGACAGACAGAGACAGAGCAGACGAGACAGACAGACAGACCGACAGACAGACAGACAGACAGACAGACAGACAGACAGACAGACAGACAGACAGAGACAGACAGACAGACAGACAGACAGACAGACAGACAGACAGACAGACAGACAGACAGACAGACAGACAATAGAGAGAGACAGACAGACAGACAGACAGACAATAGAGAGAGACAGACAGACAGACAGACAGACAGACAATAGAGAGAGACAGACAGACAGACAGACAGACAGACAGACAGACAGACAGACAGAGAGACAGACAGACAGACAGACAGACAGACAGACAGACAGACAGACAGACAGACAGACAGACAGACAGACAGACAGACAGACAGACAGACAGACAGACAGACAGACAGACAGACAGACAGACAATAGAGAGAGACAGACAGACAATAGAGAGAGAGAGAACCATACAGAGGAGAGGAAGACTCAACAGCTGGATGAGAGAGAAATGCATCATTGGCAAGGAGCAGAAGTGTTAAACTGTTTTGAAGGAAGTTTGGTTTGGCCCAGGTTCTCTCTCTCTCCTTACTCTCTTATCTGCCGGCGTCTCTAATTGTTGCCGACTAGCCTCCCCTGGCTTTAACAAACCCGGTAATTACACGCCTGCATTCTTAACAACCCTTTCTCTTATTTACAATCCCCCCACTACAATAACAATGGATTATCTTATTATCTTGTTACAGTTTCAAAGCAAAAGAGTTATCGCCTCAATTCTTATCGCTAGCAGAAAAAAAATGTGCCTGCGCAATTTCAGTCACTCTATCTTGTTTCTCTCTTTCTCTTTCGCTGTCACTCTTTCCCTCTCTTGCTTGTTCTTTCTTGCTCTCACTCAGTATTTTTTAAGAGAAGATATCTCAATATCTAAGGGCAACAAAAGTCAGTCTCCCACTCCCTCTCTTTTCTCCAATACATGTCTAATGATTTCTGACTACATGATTGAGGGAACAGTTAATCTGGGGTCGTGTCGAGTCAGTCTTTTAAAGGATTATAAGGGTTATCAATGATCCATCTACTCACTGGTCCTCCACCAACGAGGGACATTAACAAGGAACTAGTGAGTGGAAGGAGAAAAGGGGCATTAGTATACCTTTAGTAAGCTTTTGATACGTGCATGAGTGGGCACCGGCCAATGACTGTATATACTGTATGAATGGACAAAGCCATCGATCACTCGACACCATTCATTTCAATGTGAAGACTCAATAACACATTGAAGCGAAATTAAAGTAAAGATGGCGTCATAACATGCGTAGTTTGAGCTACTCCAGGAAGTGACATTGCAGGCTAGCTTAGTGCTGCCCCCTCTCATTGAGTAACTCAAGTTGAAAACCGACCGGGGTACTGCAGGCTGCCATTAACAACTTTTGTCAGTGTTTTTACCTCCTTTTTTTGTGATATCCAATTGGTAGTTACGATCTTGTCTCATCGCTGCAACTCCCCAACAGACTCGTGAGAGTCGAAGGTCGAGAGCCATGCGTCCTCCAAAACATGACCTGCCAAGCCGTGCTGCTTCTTATCACACCGCTCGCTTAAACAAGAAGCCAGCCGCACCAATGTGTCGTAGGAAACCCCATCCAACTGACAACCTTAGTCAGCTTGCAGGCGCCCGGCCCGCCACAAGGAGTCGCTAAAGCACAATGAGCCAAAGAAATCCCCCTGGCCAAACCCTCCCCTAACCCGGACGACGCTGGGCCAATTGTGCGCCACCCCATGGGGCTCCCGGTCGCGGCCGGCTATGACACAGCCTGGGATCAAACCCCAGGTTGTAGTGCTGCCTCAGCACTGAGATGTAGTACCTTTGAAACTTAGACCTCAGCGCCACCCGGGGGACCCTGTGTGCGATTTTTAAATAATCCGTTCCAAGGACATACATCTTGTGTATTAGAAGCAATTATTGGTACCATGATTGTCTTCCAACATTTTTTTATTTACACGAAGATTGACCATGAAGATTTACATTTTTCCATTCACTGTAATGGGGATCCTGTTTTCTGCTAACAAAGCCTGCAGTACCGCGGTCGGCCTTGAACTTCCGTGGCTTCTGTGGCTTCTATGAGAAGGGGCAGTCGTTCTCCCCTGGCCACGGCAAGCCATGTCGTAATAAGCTTGCTTTTTGTAATTTAACAAAGCCAAGCAACTACATAGTTACCTGGGCTACATTTAGTAGGGAAAGGTTACGGTTCCGCTCTCACTTACGGTTCCGCTCAGACATGCAGGCTTATGTATCAAATCAAATCAAGTTTTATTTGTCACATGCGCCGAATACAACAGGTGTAGACCTTACTGTGAAATGCTTACTTACAAGCCCTTGACCAACAATGCAGTTTTAAGAAAAATAGAGTTAAGAAAATATTTACTAAATAAACTAAAGTAAAAAAAGGAACACAATAAAATAACAATAACGAGGCTATATACAAGGGGTACCAGTACCGAGTCAATGTGCGGGGGTACAGGTTAGTCGAGGTAATTGAGGTAATATGTACATGTAGGTAGGGGTAAAGTGGCATAGATAATAAACAGCAAGTAGCAGCAGTGTAAAAGAGAAAGGGTGGGGGGGGTCAATGCAAATAGTCTGTGTAGCCATTTGATTAATTGTCTTATGGTCTTATGGCTTTGGGGTAGAAGCTGTTAAGGAGCCTTTTGGACCTAGACTTGGCGCTCCGGTACCGCTTTCCGTGCGGTACCAGAGAGAACAGTCTATGACTTTGGTGACATGAGTCTTTGACAATTTTTTGGGCCTTCCTCTGACACTGCCTAGTATAGAGGTCCTGGATGGCAGGAAGCTTGGCTGATGTACTGGGCCGTATGCACTACCCTCTGTAGCGCCTTAAGGTCAGATGCCGAGCAGTTGCCATAGCAGGCGGTGATGCAACCGGTCAGGATGCTCTCGATGGTGCAGCTTAGAACTTTTTGAGGATCTGAGGATCCATGCCTAGGGCTGTGGCGGTCACGAAATGTTGTGAGCCGGTGATTGTCAAGCAAATAACTGTCGGTCTCACGTAATTTACCGTTAATTAACATAAACACATTTAGCATCTCCTGGCTTCCACACATAGCCTACAAACCACTGATGCAGACCTTTGGAACATCTACCTTTTAAAAAGTCTAATAAATCCATGTAATATAGCCTACACCTTCACAATAAATCCATTATTTATTTTAGACCGGTCTAAAGAAACATGATATGAAGAAAATGTAGTCTATTTCAGAAGAACAGAATAGCATACTCTGAATTGTCCTTATGTTAGGTCCTGATCTGGCTATGCCAAATGGCTGTGGGCTACACTAGTTCATTTAGCAGACAAGATTTGCTTAGAATTCCGTGGCATTATTTTATATTATTTTATAGTATGACGAATACAATTGAACAAAGCTGAATTAAATAGAAAATATATTTTCTCCAAACGATTTGAGGGAGTGTGCACATGCGGCTATTCTGTATTTAGCAGTTAACAAAGAAATAGGTACTCCGATATGCTTAATTTAGAGTTATTAATGTAACTTTAGTTGTTCTACAAACGTTGGGCTAAATGTTTTGATTTTTAACATTGTAAGGCTGCATGATGCGACTCTAATGGTGATTTGAAAAAAGTTGCTTGAAAGGCATGAGCTCTGCTTTGTTTTGTTGCGCAGGCTGTACACATTTCATCAGTCTCTCATTCACAATTTGACAAGCATTTGATAATGCCTCGAATTTGTGTGGCTGTAATGCACCCTAAAAAATCCATGCTGGTGTGCCCTTGGCCCGGTCACTGACCTGGTTCATTACCGGCCAACCCCGGACTGTCTTGTCTCATTACGCACACCTGGTTCCCATTCCCTCTGATTAGTATGTGTATATATGTGCCCTCTGTTCCCCATTGTTCTGGTCGATTATTGTCCCATGTCCGTTGGTCTCGTGAGTACCGTGTATTGTGCTCTTGTTATTACGGGTCTCGTCCCGTGTATTGTGTAGAGGTTACACCTAGCTCTTTTGTTTGGGTTACATCCCTTTGTTTATTTATATATATATATATATATATATATATATATATATATATATATATAGTGAGGGAAAAAAGTATTTGATCCCCTGCTGATTTTGTACGTTTGCCCACTGACAAAGACATGATCAGTCTATAATTTTAATGGTAGGTTTATTTGAACAGTGAGAGACAGAATAACAACAAACAAATCCTGAAAAACTTATGTCAAAAATATTATAAATTGATTTGCATTTTAATGAGGGAAATAAGTATTTGACCCCCATGCAAAACATGACTTAGTAATTGGTGTCAAAACCCTTGATGGCAATCACAGAGGTCAGACGTTTCTTGTAGTTGGCCACCAGGTTTGCACACATCTCAGGAGGAATTTTGTCCCACTCCTTTTTGCAGATCTTCTCCGAGTCATTAAGGTTTTGAGCCTGACGTTTGGCAACTGGAACCTTCTGCTCCCTACACCAATTTTCTATGGGATTAAGGTTTGGAGACTCGCTAGGCCACTCCAGGACCTTAATGTGCTTCTTCTTGAACCACTCCTTTGTTGCCTTGGCCGTGTGTTTTGGGTCATTGTCATGCTGGAATACCCATCCACAACCCATTTTCAATGCCCTGGCTGAGGGAAGGAGGTTCTCACCCAAGATTTGATGGTACATGGCCCCGTCCATCGTCCCTTTGATGCGGTGAAGTTGTCCTGTCCCCTTAGCAGAAAAACACCCCCAAAGCATAATGTTTCCACCTTCATGTTTGACGGTTGGGATGGTGTTCTTGGGGTCATAGGCAGCATTCCTCCTCCTCCAAACACGGCAAGTTGAGTTGATGCCAAAGAGCTTGATTTTGGTCTCATCTGACCACAACACTTTCACCCAGTTCTCCTCTGAATCATTTAGATGTTCATTGGCAAACTTCAGACGGGCCTGTACAGTAGCTGTGCTCAGATCCACACTTGTACATTACAGTTGTGTCCAGGCTTGGACTTACGTATCAAAAGCAGAACCCCATGGTTGTTCACTTCTCACACCCTAGTTGTGTTGTCTACAATAGTAAAATCATACCGCTGCGCTCACACGCAGGTCTTTGGATTATAGTGAGACCCTATGGCTGTATTCCCGCATGGTCTTCCACACAACAAAGAGACCTTATAGTTGCACTTACACAATCTACACAGGCTCAAGTGTTCCGTACCAGAGCAATGCTAGGCACCAAAACATCAACAAAAACACACACACATACACACACACACACACACACACACACACACACACACACACACACACACATACACACACACACTGGCCTGTAGGGGAGTTGTAGTGTGATTACTGAGGTGAGAAAGGCATAAACAAGGGGCTTGCTGTTATCTCAGCCATCATAATAAAACATAGAACAGGCCAGACCAGGCACTCCCCCTTCCTTCCCCTTCCTGTTACAGCCTAATGGGAAAATGGTTCTCTAAGGAATTCCATGTTGTGTAATCAGGGTGGATGGTGGATGGTGGGCAGAGCGGAACGCGGGATGTTTTGCAGTTTGGATGGTAGCTCTAGTCCAGGGCGTTAGGAAGGCTCAGCATTAGCAAGCCGCACTGAGGCTCAGCATTAGCAAGCCCTGGACTACAGCTGGTTGGTTGGTTGGTTGGTGTACTGCTGAAGAGGGCTAGCAGGTTGGTGGGTTGGTTGCAGACCTGGGTCAAATGCATAGATCAAATGTTTTAAAGTACTTGAGTGTTTGAGGTGCACTTGATTTAGCTTCAAGTTTGCACTTTTGGGAATATTCTGTATATGTTCCAGTGTACCATTACACAGAACCTGATAAACAATGGATGTGTGCATGCCACTGTTGTGAAACCCCAGTCACGGTACTGCCTAGACAGTCAGAATCTTGACTTATGATAAGAATAAATCACTTCTGTGTGACTTTTACACAACTCTCCCCTGATTATTTGAGTGTTATCCTTGGCTGCGACTCTGCGAGGTTGGAATCTGAAACAAATCTGTGAGACGCCCAACTCCCTCGGCTTAATCTGTGAACGCCTTTCCCCTGGATACTCTATAGGCTAGGGGTTGTTTCTGGGTGTGAACGAGTGTGAACACTGTTTTACTTCCCCACCCACAAGCCTCTGCAGTCAGATCACGGCAGAAAGCTATCGATTCCATCCAGCACCGTAATCTAATATGATCTGAGTCATTCCAAGTATTCCAATGGCTCATTTCAGAGGAAGGAACATGTTTAATGTCTAAGTACTTCATTCTTCATATCAATTCACTCTGAATAGTTTTTTACTGTTTTAAGTCTGTTGGGGAAAGAATGTCTTAAAACCGCTGTTTTTGAATTCTCTGCGGATGTCTCTTTAAGTCTGTGTGTGTTATTGTGTGGATTTTCTTGGACCGTTGTCCATTGTGTTGGTGTCTGAGGAGGGGTAGGAGGATGGAGGGGTGAGAAGAGGAGGGCAGTGGCTGGGGTACTGTGTGTGTTGATGTAGGCGTCAGCGTCAATCATCTCAGCTGCTGCCTCCACCCAGTTTCCTCTGCCAGTGACCCCCTACCACACACACACGTACATGCACACATGGTTCAAACACACAAACACACATACAAATGTGCAGGACATGGGTTTGTCAAGTGGTTTCGCCTAGACACATACATGTACAGTACATGCACGTACAGTACGCACACACACCCTTGTCGACTTCTCTGTCGCACTCACTAATATTTACTCAGTTTGGTCCTCTGTACGAGTGTTTGTTTACATTTCTGTTATTCTTGGCATCGGGCGACTTGTTGTCAAGCGACTTGTTGTCGGAAGAGAGGAATTTTGTTGTTTGGCTTGGGAGCAGCGGCAGTGTGGAGTGAGATGGTTTGCGTGTGTTGTCTGGAACTTCCTCCAGTTTCTTTGCTGTTCTTGGTTTGTTGTTTACTGACTACTGGATTTATCAGGAAGGCTTTTGAGTGGATAGGGTAGCTAGCTACGAAAAGGGCTGTGTGTGACGCAACAGTTGACACAAGTAGGCCCTTGTGGCCTTTGTCTTGATATTTTCTGCCAGTTTTAAAGGTAGACTCACTGTTATGACGTTGCCACGAGCAGCACCACAGATATTGCAATGAGCGTGATGCAAGACTTTGCTCTCAGACAGCCACACAGAGTATCTGTGCATGTGCACAGGTTCGCTTCATGCTGCTACAACGTGGTATACAGTACCAAAACAGCAGAGAAGTTTAGCATCGCGCTACAACGCTCTTAGTAGTTGTGTAAATTGACCAACCATTGCTGTTTACTTTGTGCTTTGATGAATCTACCTTTAAGGCATTGTGTCCCATTATTCTCACATAGTAAACTAAACCAACACAAATGAATGCTTAACAACACACGTATTGATCACGAACAGACCCTTTATAATCCATTAGCTTAGCATTTATAAGCAATGCAGGCATTACAAAGCGTAACCAATCCGTTACTCACAATAAGAAAGTGAAAAGCATGAAAGTGTGATTTCACAATGTCTCCACCCAGCCTCCACTTTTTAATAAAACCATCCTTTTTAAACCCACCATATATATTGTGACAGATCTCTGTGGCTAACTGGTTTTTACTGGATTCTACTGGACTTAACTAGATTTAGTTTGGCCTCCTCCAGTCTGTATTTAACTGGTCTTGATTGCCCTCCTAAACCCTTGCCATCCTCCTCTTCTTCTTTCTTTCTTCTTCTTCCCCCTGCCAACATTAGATTCAGCTATCCCTGCTAAAGGCTTTTAAGCTGTGTAATTCAGCTGTGGGAATTGGGAGGTCTCTGTCCAATGGTAGGCCTACTGTATTTACAATACTTGAGTCATTTGCAAACTTAAATCAGATTCTGATTGGGGTGATGCATAGCCAGTCAGGCTTCCCCAGTTGTAAGCAAATAGTTTCACATTTTCTAGTAAGTTTTGTTTGTAGTGTGCTTGGTGAACTTGATTCTTGGATTTCAGGATTTCTCTAAATGGAAACAACCTTATTTAAACCATTCATTTTCCCATATTAGAACATATTTACACATAACCAAACATATATAGATATATACAGGTGCCAAAATAAAGGAAACACCAACTTTAAGTGTCTTAATAGGGCGTTGGGTCACCACAAGCTGCCAAAAAAAGCTTTAATGTGCCTTGGCATAGATTTTACAAGTGTCTGGAACCTATAAACTAGGGATGTGACACCATTCTTCTACGAGAAATTCCATCATCATTTGGTGTTTTGTTGATTGTGGTGGAAAACACTGTCTCAGGCACTGCTCCAGAATCTCCCATAAGTGTTCAATTGTGTTGAGATCTGGTGACTTAGACGGCCATGGCATATGGTTTACATCGTTTTCATGCTCATCAAACCATTCAGTGACCACTCGTGCCCTGTGGATGGGGGCATTGTCATCCTGGAAGAGACCACTCCCACCAGGATAGAAATTATTCACCATGGGTTGAAGGTGATCACTCAGAATAGCTGAGTATTTATTGGTGTTTACCTTGCCCTCTAAGGGATTGAGTGGACCTTAACCATGCCAGGAGAATGCACCCCACACCATAACAGTGCCACCAGAACCCTCATTTACTCAAGTGTTTCCTTTATTTTGGCAGTTACCTGTAGATATAGAGCAAAAACTTGCAGATATTTCAATGCTATTTATATTTACATTTAAGTCATTTAGCAGACGCTCTTATCCAGAGCGACTTACAAATTGGTGCATTCAACTTAGGATAGCCAGTGGGAAAACCACTTTTTGAAATGCTGATTTGGGAGAAGTTGATATCCTTGAATATACTACCTAATGTGCTATATTTGTAGAGAAAAAATGTGGTACTCTCTTGCTGATTGTCTTTTACGTATCCTGCTGGCAGAGCGATATCCATTCACACCCTCATTGTGTGTGTGTGTTTGTGTGTGTGCCATTACAAAAAATAATTTGTTGTTGCAAACTTCCCGAAAGTTTGTGGCAAATTTGTTGCAAACTAAATAGTGTCCTACAAAATTTCGCCAGAATTTTGCAAATGTTTGCCACTAGTGGTGAATTTACGGCAAACCTTTGTCAACAATAATACAGTTGAAGTCGGAAGTTTACATACACTTAGGTTGGAGTCATTAAAACTCGTTTTTCAACCACTCCACAAATGTCTTGTTAACAAACTATAGTTTTGGCAAGTCGGTTAGGACATCTACTTTGTGCATGACACAAGTAATTTTTCCAACAATTGTTTACAGACAGAGTATTTCACTTATAATTCACTGTATCACAATTCCAGTGGGTCAGAAGTTTACATACACTAAGTTGACTGTGCCTTTAAACAGCTTGGAAAATCCCAGAAAATGATGTCATGGTTTTAGAAGCTTCTGATAGGCTAATTGACATCATTTGAGTCAATTGGAGGTGTATCTGTGGATGTATTTCAAGGCCTACCTTCAAACTCAGTGCCTCTTTGCTTGACATCATGGTAAGATCAAAAGAAATCAGCCAAGACCTCAGAAAACGAATTATAAACATCCACAAGTCTGGTTTATCCTTGGGAGCAATTTCCAAACGCCTGAATGTACCACGTTCATCTGTACAAACAATAGTACCCAAGTATAAACACCATGGGACCACGCAGCCGTCATACCGCTCAGGAAGCAGAGATGAACGTACTATGGTGCGAAAAGTGCAAATCAATCCCAGAACAACAGCAAAGGACCTTGTGAAGATGCTGGTCCTATATTGACATAACCTGAAAGGCCGCTCAGTAAGGAAGAAGCCACTGCTCATAAACCACCATAAAAATAGCCATACTACGGTTTGCAACTGCACATGGGGACAAAGATCGTACTTTTTTGAGAAATGTCCTCTGGTCTGATGAAACAAAAATTGAACTGTTTGGCCATAATGACCATCGTTATGTTTGGAGGAAAAAGCAGATGAACACCATCCCAACCGTGAAGCACGTTGGTGGCAGCATCATGCTGTGGAGGTGCTTTCCTGCAGGAGGGACTGGTGCACTTCACAAAATAGATGACTTCATGAGGAAGGAATATTATGTGGATATATTGAAGCAACATCTCAAGACATCAGTCAGGAAGTTAAAGCTTGGTCGCAAATGGGTCTTCCAAATGGACAATGACCCCAAGTTGTGGCAAAATGGCTTAAGGACAACAAGGTAAAGGTATTGTAGTGGCCATCACAAAGCCCTGACCTCAATCCTATAGAAAATGTGTGGGCAGAACTGAAAAAGCGTGTGCGAGCAAGGAAGCCTACAAACCTGACTCAGTTACACCAGCTCTGTCAGGAGGAATGGGCCAAAATTCACCCAACTTATTGTGGGAAGCTTGTGGAAGGCTACCTGAAACGTTTGACCCAAGTTAAACAATTTAAAGGCAATGCTACCAAATACTAATTGAGTGTATGTAAACTTCTGACCTACTGGGAATGTGATGAAAGAAATAAAAGCTGAAATAAATCATTCTCTCTACTATTATTCTGACATTTCACATTCTTAAAATAAAGTGGTGATCCTAACTGACCTAAGACAGGGAATTTATACTAGGATTAAATGTCAGGAATTGTGAAAAACGAAGTTTAAATGTATTCGGCTAAGGTGTATGCAAACTTCCGACTTCAACTCTATATATTGCCACTAGTCGCAAACAGTTCGCCAGATTTTATTTTATGGCAGACAATTCTCTCAAGATTCAATTTGAATTTGTGGCAAACCTGTGGCAACAAGTTCCAAGACCAGTAAACGTTGATGACCAATCAGGGGGATAAGAAACGTCTGTTGGAAAATGAAATCCAAGCTATCTAGCTAGCTACCTACCAAAGTTTTCCGGTGAGTGTCTAACTTATTAATTAAACGTCCTAATAAACTTTAACATATTATTAGCTAAATGATGCCTAGTTAGCAATGTAAAGTTTTATGGGATAGAGTGAAACACATTTTGTTGATATCAGTTTCAATCTGCCAGCGCCACTGACTGGCTAGCTCTTAGCTAGCTAATGTGGAACCCCGTATTATCGGCATATTCAACAGCGTTTAAAAAATACATTACCTTCAACAGTGTTATCTTGTGATCAAGCCATAAATGTTATGTGATTATTGGTGTCGTAAAAATGTTAGCTAACGGGTTAGCAATTAGCAAGTTTGACATTTCAGTGGAAATACTACTATTATCAGCTTTTTGATAAGCGGTTTAGCAAAAAAATAAGTCCCTTATTATCGGCATACGGCCCCCAGTTATTGGCCACCTTACTATTCTGTTCAATTACAAGATATATCAGTTTAATTTAGTTCAAAAAAGAGACACCAACCACATAACCGAAGTGTTTACTAGTTGACTAGTTGGCTAGCCTTCCGGTAAAAAATAATGACTTGCCTGTCAACTTTTCATTGTGTAGCCCGGTGCGCCCTCCTGTGGACTGTGGAAAATTGTTCTTCACCAACATATTCAGTGTTGTAACCAAATAATGTCTCATCATTTGTTTTACAGATTCATCTTATGTTTTGAGAAAGTAGATAACAGTTGAATTCTAAAATATGAGTATTAATAATTTACATCAAATAAAACTTTAATTTCAGTTATGTGCATTGACATAAACAATGAAAACACTGTTGGAGTTTGTGTTGCAGAGATGCACTTGGAAAGTAAAGGAAGAAATACACAAGAGTGGTTCAATAAATATATATTATATTTTAGACATTTATTTTTTTGTACAAATAAATAATTGAATATGAACACAAACAAAACAATTAAATCTCGACCTCCATCCCTATATTGTCACAAAAATCACAATAATAATCCAGCTCCACCGCTACCTCTGGATCCCACTGCACACACCTGCAGTGGAACCAGTGCTGACAGAAGTCACAGCACAACCATGGCACCTCGGATCTACACTCCTGAGAGGAGCTTGCAGGCGGATCATGCTCAAATTGCAGGGGGCAGGGACACCAGACGAGGCTGCTATGGTGGTGTGACCAGGGGAGACTGAGGAGGCAGTTGGTGGTGACAGACAGGGTGGGTGGTGTGCATCGTGGTGGTGGTGGACAAAACCGCCGACGATGGCTTGGAGGAGCTGGTGTTTGTAATGGTGGGTTGAGGGGCCGACGATGGTGTGGCCGGGAGAGTAGGCACGTGGCCTTCTGCAGCTGGGGACTCTGGCGGCTCCTACAGGTGTTGCACCCTGGGTGGCACTGGCAGTGGTGATGCAGTTGTCAGGAGTGGTTCCAGCAGGGGGTCCTGCAGAGGCGATGGCGTCAATGGTCTCATCCATGGCAGCCCTCTCCTGTGCTCTCTGTGTTCTGAGGGCTGCCCGACGCTCTTTCTCCTCTGCCTCTGCCCTCTCCTTCTCACCCCTCTCCTGCCACTGGTGCGTGTATTCCTCCCTGGTGCGGCATGTGACGACCACAGGGAGTCTTCTGTATCGGTCCAGCCGATACTTCAGGACAGTAAGGATGTGCCCCAGGTCCTTCGCTATCAGCCCACCCTCTATTAGGGGGTGCTCTTCTAGAGCTAGGGATAGGACTGGAGCAGGGACTGGAGATGGGGCTGAGGGTCCTCCTGTGGTCGCTGGGGAGGAGGCACTGATGGATGGCACAGTGCTGCTGGTTCCAGGAGAGGCGGTGGTGGGACTCGGTAGGGACCGAGACAACATTAAACGGGACTCTTCAATGGCTGAAGGGTCAAAAAGGGAAGAGGCCACACTTCTTAAACCCTTCCACCACATAGCGCATGTCCTTGCATCGCTGGTACGGGTAGCGGAATACTCTGGCAAATTCTGATTTGTTTACCATGTAGGAGTGGTCAAAATGGCTAAGGTCTCCAGCTACCTTGGAGAACTCAGCCTTTAAAGGGCCAAAGTATGCCACGTCCAGCGGCTGCAGGACATGGGTGCAGTGTGGTGGAAGACAAAGAAGTATAACCCCTTCCCTTAGTGCCGCCGCGAGAACCTCCAGGTCCATGTGGCTCTTGTGCCCATCGGAGAGGAGAAGGAGAGGGCGCTCCTTCACTGCATGCTTAATGAAGTGCAGAAACCACTTCCTGAACAGGTCCCCGTCAATGTAGCCACTGCTAGCCAAGGCTTGGGGGGGGGGGGGGGGGGGCTCCCAGTGTGTAGTGGCCAACGGGGAAACACTTGGGGTAGATGATAAACGGGGGGGGTGGGGGGGACGTCCTCCCCAGCTGCGTTGAAGCAGGCCAGCACTGTGATGTGCTCCTTGGTCCAGGAGCCTGCTGGTACACGTGTTTTGCGCCTAGGGGAGCCAGCACTTTGTGCCTGCTCTGGTCGCTACGAAACCCAGACTTATCGCAGTTATAGATATGTCTGGGTTTCTCCCTCAACCCACTCTCCTCCAAGTGCTTCTCATAAGAAGTGAAGAAGGTGTCCATCGTCGGACGTGTGGCACACTCAGCACTCCCCCTGTCCAGGGTGTCCGGCCTCCTCATGCTCTGAACATTTCCCACCACCTCTTCCCCAGTGGTGGGATTGTTTCCCCTGGGTGCCGAAACCTACAATAGAATAGAATATATAATTGTCCATCCAGGATGAAAATGTTTGTTTTGGCATCACCATACACATCCACATTTACATCACACACATTGAGAACAGTCAGTCCATCAATCTACATACATAGAACACCAAATACCTGCTTATTTTGTCGGCGTATTTCATCAGCCTCTGTCTGGTGAAGGGGAACCCATGGCTGGTGCAGTAGATACAGTACTGCACCAGATAATTTTTGGTGCAAGCAATGTGGGTGGTCCACTGCGACAACCATGGGTCACCCGGACGCTCAGCCTGTCCGCCAGGGTCTGCCGAGGTACACCATGCACCTTGGTAGATAAGAAAATAAAACTTACTAGCAGATAAAATTCACATACACATGGTAATCTCCTAAAAACAAAAGATGCCTAACCTTGGCAGCCTGGCGGATAGCCATCCCTGCCCCGCAGTCCTCCATGGCATGGAACATGTCCACCTCACTCCACTGCTTCCTCTTGACTTTCTCCATGCTGTGGTGTTAATACATGTAGTTAAATAACTTGGCATACTATACACATTTTTGAAAGATTACTCAATCTGAATATGTATAAACATTTACATTTCAGAGCTAATGCATTGAAAGGTGATGAAAGTTTTCACAATAACTGAAAGTGTACCCATGTTTTTTGTTTGATGTTATCTGTAATGAAAATTAGTGTCCCAATTAGTTTAATATTGACGCATACATTGTACATTTTGACTAAATACTGCCTCTATGTAGCTGTTGTAAGATTAAACATAACCAACAGTGATAGGTGTCAAAAAGTTCATGGTTCAAAGTTCCAAATACATTTTTGCAGATTGTGCAAAACGCCTCTGTCACGATCGTTGATGAACGGGTCAGACCAAGGCGCAGCGTGAAATGCATCCATGTTTATTGTACTGAATAAACATACAAAACAACAAAAGGCAACACGACGTCGGAAGGCTAATCACTAACAAGCCCAAACTCACCGAACACAAACAAGATCCCACAACACAGGCAGGAAAACTGGCTGCCTAAGTATGATCCCCAATCAGAGACAACGAACGACAGCTGCCTCTGATTGGTGTGGTCCTCTGTAGCTCAGCTGGTAGAGCACGGCGCTTGTAACGCTAAGGTAGTGGGTTCGATCCCCGGGACCACCCATACACAAAAAAAAAATGTATGCACGCATGACTGTAAGTCGCTTTGGATAAAAGCGTCTGCTAAATGGCATATTATTATTATATTATTATTGGGAATCACACCCGGCCAACCATAAACATAGAAACATAGAATACCACATATAGAAAAAGCACAACAAGGAATATACACACCCTGACTCAACATATAAGCGTCCCCTGAGTCAGGGCGTGACAGACTCCAATTTTGATACGATAAAGCTTGACAAGATTCCGCTGTTTTCGTGATATGTATTATCTAACGCTTACAATTTCTTTCCTTTTTGCTGTCTTAGCAGTTCTATCAACATTTAGCAACTAAGCTAGTAACATTAGAAAATCTGTTAGCTATATTTCAGAGGTAAAAAGTTGGATATTAAATGATGTGTGGTCTGTCGTGCAGTCGAATTTTACAATATGCAGCGTGTTCCACAAAATGTGTACATACATAACTTTTTTGAAAACGATCAAAACCTAACATAACTTACACAAATTGCACTGAAAATCGGTGATCAGCTAGGTAGAAGGGTGTCGTTAGTCGCAAAACTTACCGTTCTTTTCCAATCCATTTAAATGTTGAGCTCGAGGTGATTTAGTCCTCCAACCGCTAGAGAGTGTCCGAAGTTAGGGAGTGTCTGATGTTGGGGGAAAATTAGCTAACGTTAGCTATCATACTATTGCACAATTAATGTGATAGGTAGCTAGCTAACTAATTATTTGCCTAAACACTTATATTTTTATGTGAATACGTTGCTGTCTTAATACCAATATGCATGTCAATATGCTAGTGTCAGTTCAGTAGAATGTTAGCTAGCACAACAGCTAAGGTAGCAACAATATGAGTTGATTTGACATCAAAGCAAAACTTTTGCAGATGGATACCCTTTCCCCACCCGTGGTGTTGAAAGAGGCTGGGAGGAGGATGCATAAACACCCTGGAAATATGTTTGTGGAGCAATCACTCATAACACTTTTTTTGAGTGATAAATTAGTGTATTGTCTTTGAGATTGATAAGGTAAGCAAATGCATGTATTCTCAAATGCAGCTCATACATTCATTCTTTGTAACAATTAGATATTTCATCACTTTAAACTAGTAGTAGCAAGCTCAATACAGATTGAGGCCTTCAATCAAACTGAGGACAGAGAAATGTGTGTGCACCAGACAGGTCAAGGCTTCTTGGATGCATGGCTTTGAGATCTAAGTTACACTCAAAAAAATGCTGGGTTGCAGGCATTGAGTCAATAGTTGGGTTGTTTTCTGTAAAAACAGCAGGGTTGGGTTGTTGGTGCTGGGTTATTAAGGTTGTGTTATGGCAGTGCTGATTTTAAAATGTCAAACTTGGTGGGACAAACTCAATGCCTGCAAAGCCACTACATAACACGAAACAATACATTATGAATATTTGACCCAGCCAGTGGGTAAATGTTTTGTGTGCTGTCACCTAAGACAGCTGAAGTGTGTCAGTGAATGTGAATATCTATTGATTTGCTCTGGCACTGTCTGATAGACACATCTGTGTTAATAACACTAAAGATAGTGTCACACGCATGCTTTGTTTTTATCAGATTGCAATCTGAGTGTACACATCAAATTCAGCTGAGGCTCTAGTCAATATGTTTGGACTGTTTGGTTCATGAAATAATATAAATACATGTTAAGATTTCAGAAGATAGGATTGATTATGAAATCTTATGAAAAATAACCTATACTTTGTTTCAATGTGCTATTTAAAAAAAAACTATACATTGTGGACAATTCTCTGATGTGATATATGTTCTGAAATGCAGGTGATACAACTCAACATTGTATCTTGATTGTGTGTAGGAAAGGGGTGGGGTGGGATAGTAGGGAAGGCAAAAATATAGAAGCAAAATTAAAATTAGGATTACACTGAAAATAACCCAAAGATTATAAATTACCCAGCTGATGGGTCAAACCCCAAACCAGCAATATAGTCTAATTTACCCAGAAGCTGGGTCAAGCGCTCAACCCAAGGTGCTAGGTTAGAAGCACAACCCAACCCCACTGGGTTGAGTTGACCCAATGTTGTGTTTGGCCAATATTGACCCAGCATTGGCTTGTTGAAATGACCCAAATTGGGTTATTTTTAACCCAGCATTTTTTTGTGTAACAAATTTATTTTGGGAAAATAATATGAATTGCCATATTAGGCATAACTCAATTTCTAACTTTTTTGAGATGCCAAAATAAAAATATTTTCAGTAATTTTTTTCAGTATCATAGTTTAGTTTGTTTTGTGTTTTCTGATTGTTTCAGTGCATGCATTCAACAAGCTTTGGACTAAGGAATTCCACAGAGCCGCCATCTCCAAAGTTCACTCAAAAAGGCAATAGTTCTGAACTGGGTTTGATTTAGTTTTAGTTTTAATTATTTACATTTTGTGAAATTATCTTTTAAACTTCCTTTGGTTTAAATCTATTGCTCATTATTCACTTGGCTCATGTAAATAATTCTGTAGTTGCCCCTTTAAACATCCTAAGGTCAATATCCCCATACTGTTCACATTTCTCTCATGTAAATGTTGTAGCTACATAAAATATTAAATAAACAATTTATTTGGTAAATATCCAGTCGTTGCTCTTTTCTTCATTACCATGCTGATGATTTCAAGTTGTATTGGATTTATTGTTAAGACATTGAATACTGTCACGCCCTGGCTCTGGGGACTCTAGTATGTTTAGCCAGGGTGTGAGTTTTCAGTTGTTGTTCGTTTTAGTTGAGTATTTCTATGTTGGCCAGTGTGGTTCTCAATCAGAGGCAACGTGTATCAGCTGTTGCTTGTTGTCTCTGATTGGGAACCATACTTAAGCAGCCAGTTTTCCCACAGTGTTTGTGGGATCTTGTTCCTGTTAGGTTTGTGTTTTTGCACCTTTGGACGTCACGTATCGTTTTTGTTATTTTGTTCGTGTCTCACTAAATAAAGCATGTTCGCAAATAACGCTGCGCATTGGTCCTCTGTTCCCGACGAACGGGACAGAAGATCCCACCAAAACTGGACCAAGCAGCGTGTCCAGGAGCCATCGCCAGGGGAATCTCTAGCGGATCTCCTTTGCAACCTCGACTGGGCCAAGCCAAGTGAAGAGCAGAGAGGTTGGACTTTGGAGCAGTGGAGTAAGAGTCTCGACTGGGCCAAGCCAAGTGAAGAGCAGAGAGGTTGGACTTTGGAGCAGTGGGGTGAGAGTCTGGCGAGAGATATGGAGGCCTGGTCCACGGGGAGGAGAGACACCCAGACATTTTTTAGGGGGGGGCTCATGCCGTGGACGACGGGGCAGCAGGAGGCCGCGAAAAGAGCGGTCCAGCGGGTTGGCAGAGGAGGCCGCCAGGTTAAGGGGGCCACTGGTCACAAAGGGGAAGGAAAGTGTAGAGGCACGGCGAGAGGTACTGGGGTGTGTTACCAGTCCGGTCCGGCCCGTTCCTGATCCCCGCGTAGGGCCAGTGGTGTGTGTCCCCAGTACGGTCCGGCCTGTTCCTGTCCCTCGCATCGAGCCTGTGGTGCGCGTCGCCAGCCCGGTCCGGCCTGTTCCTGCTCCCCGCATCAAGCCTGTGGTGCGCTTCGCCCGCCCGGTCCGGCCCGTTCCTGCTCCCCGCACCAAGTCAGTGGTGCGCTTCGTCAGCCCGGTCCGGCCCGTTCCTGCTCCCCGCACCAAGTCAGTGGTGCGCTTCGTCAGCCCGGTCCGGCCCGTTCCTGCTCCCCGCACCAAGTCAGTGGTGCGCTTCGTCAGCCCGGTCCGGCCCGCTCCTGCTCCCCGCACCAAGTCAGTGGTGCGCTTCGTCAGCCCGGTCCGGCCCGCTCCTGCTCCCCGCACCAAGTCAGTGGTGCGCTTCGTCAGCCCGGTCCGGCCTGTTCCTGCTCCCCGCACCAAGTCAGTGGTGCGCTTCGTCAGCCCGGTCCGGCCCGCTCCTGCTCCCCGCATCAAGTCAGGGGTGCGTTTCGTCAGCCCGGCTCGGCCCGTTCCTGCTCCCCACACCAAGCCAGTGGTGTGCGTCGTCAGTCCGGCACAGCCCGTGCCTGTTCCACCGGTGCCTGGTTCGGCACGGGTCAGCTGCTTCACGCCGGAGCTAGAGCAATCCGCTCCACCAGTGTGCAGTCCAGCTCCGGTCAGCAGGGCCAGACCGGACCAGGGGTACTTTGGGGGGTTAGAGAGGGAGTGGGGATCATGCCTGGAGCCGGATCCGCCGCCAAGGCGGAGTGCCCACCCGGTCCCTCCCCTGTGGTGTTTGGTTGGCGCGGTCGGAGTCCGCGCCTTTGGGGGGGGGGGTACTGTCACGCCCTGGCTCTGGGGACTCTAGTATGTTGAGCCAGGGTGTGAGTTTTCAGTTGTTGTTCGTTCTAGTTTAGTATTTCTATGTTGGCCAGTGTGGTTCTCAATCAGAGGCAACGTGTATCAGCTGTTGCTTGTTGTCTCTGATTGGGAACCATACTTAAGCAGCCAGTTTTCCCACAGTGTTTGTGGGATCTTGTTCCTGTTAGGTTTGTGTTTTGCACCTTTGGACGTCACGTATCGTTTTTGTTATTTTGTTCGTGTCTCACTAAATAAAGCATGTTCGCAAATAACGCTGCGCATTGGTCCTCTGTTCCCGACAAACGTGACAAATACTTGTTTAGCATATTTACTAAATTTAATGTTTTAGTTATTTTTCTCTGAAAAGTAAGTTCATTTAAAGTTATGTGATTTGGTTTATTTAGATACAACATTTCAATGTTGTTAACATACAGTAACCAAAAACCTGATCTAATTTGCATATTCATACTGATTTTGCAGCAAACAGAATGCCAAAAGTTTCCCAGAAGTTAACAAGTTGCCACAAATTGACCGCAACAGTTTTCCAAAAAAGGATTTTGCATGTGAAAATATGAGCTTGTCGCAAAATTGCGACAAATTGGCCAAAGGTTTGCCACAACTGTTTGCCAGAAGCCTGTTTTTGCATAAGGGTGTCTATGGGTGGGGACTCCTCTCCAGGGTAGCAGAGATGGCACTCTCCCAAAGGCACAGGAAGCCAGAGGAAGGGGGGGGTGGTAATTTACCACATTGAGAAAGGCTCTGGAACGTGAGAAAATCCAGCTCTGTATGTGTGTGTTTGTGCGAGAGAGAGGAAGGACGAGAGAGAAGAGAGTGAGAGAGTGAGAGAGGCTGGGAACTGAAGACCAGAAGAGGACAGCAGCCTTAGCAGGGTCAGGTTTTACCAACGTAACAAAGGACCGTAGGACACCAGGCAAGCTCTATATAGAAAACGGAGAGAGAGAGATACAGTAGATGGGGAAAGAGGAAACGGAGAGAGAGTGAAAGAGAAAGCGGCAAAGAGATAGGGAAGGAAAAAGAGAGTGAAAGTTTGTGAGTTAAAATTGGAGGGAGAAAGAGAGATAAACCAGAGAAAAGGAGGGTGAGGATAATTTAAGGAGCAAGTCGGTTTTGAGAAAGCGAGCGTTGTTGAACCAGCAGCCTGCGACGGACAAACCATGTCGGGAACATATTCCTGCCTCTGAGTAGACTGTGTTTTCCTCTTTCTGAGGTGTGTGTGTGAGTGTGGGCGTGTGTGCATGTTTGTTTGTGTGTGTCCATTTGTGTGTCCGTGTCTGTTAGTGATGGGGGACAATCTCAATGTATTTCTCCCTTCATCCACAAGAGGAGTGTATTCACCTTTCTCTGAGTAAAAGTGAGTATGTGCCCTATTTTAACAGTGTGTGTGTGTGTGTGTGTGTGTGTGTGTGTGTGTGTGTGCGTGCGTGCGCCCTCTCTCCTCAGGACAACCTGAGTGTGTTCCTGCGTGGCTGTGAGGAGCTAGGACTGAAGGGCTCTCAGCTGTTTGACCCCGGGGACCTGCAGGACACCTCGACACGCCCCAACGTCAAGTAAGACATCACAGACACACTTGCTTCCCTGACTGGCTGGATGGCTGAAAGGCTGGCTGGTTGACTGTCTGGCCGGCTCACTGTCGTAGGTCAATAGGGTGGTTGGACAGTTGTTCTGTCTGTCTTTCTGTATCTGTCAGCCTGTATGTCTTTGTATTTCCATCCATGTGTTTTATCTGTTTCCATCCATTTGTGCATTTGCTTGTCTTTCTACATCTCTATGTCTCTGTTATGTCAACAGTACAGGAATTAGTGTCAAAGCAAAGAAATGTGACTCTCCTGTATGCAACATCACATGACAGGAGATTGTGACGTTGTAGCTGTTGCTAGGTGAGTGGGTGTTGCCCTCCAACTGTCCTCGTGCCAGGGCTACTCTGTCAGTCAGTAAATAAAGAGAGAGAGAGAGAGCGAGCGAGGGAAAGAAAGATCGGGAAGGAGAGAGAGAAGAAGAGAGGTAGAGAGAGAGGTTCTTCACTTTGTGACAGGACAATGTCAAACTTAGCAGGTCTAGGTGGTGGCTTGACTGGTCCTGTCATGACATATGATTCCATGAATAGTTCATGTGTGGGCTAATGGAATATTATTAGCTTTACTCTCACACTAGGCACACAGTGTGTGTGTGTGTGTGTGTGTGTGTGTGTGTGTGTGTGTGTGTGTGTGTGTGTGTGTGTGTGCGCGCATGTGTGCGTGCGTGCATGAAGGTGTTTTTGTGTACGTGTGCGTATGTGTGTGTGTCCACCCTGTCACTGATGCCTATGCATTTGTTCGGCTCCGATCCAAGTTCATTGCATTTGAATTGACCCTGTTCTAATTTTGATGGCTATGCATCCTTGCATTGACTTATATGCCCTTGTTACTGTCCCTTAGATTTTGTGTGCAGCTCTACCCTTTTCTCCTGCTACTCTTCCCAGTGTTCAGACAGGTGTTTTCTTATCTAGAAAGCAGATTTGGACGGGGGTGCATAAAGAGACACCACTCTGCACAATGAGCTAAGGCCTGAAATATGTCCTCTGTACCATCTGCTAATGGAAACAGATCGATTTCCAAGAAAAGTGACAGGGGAGAGAGTGAAAGAGGGGAGAGAGAGAGAGAGAGAAAGAGAGAGAGAGAGAGAGAGAGAGAGAGGGAGAGAGCGAGAGAGAGAGAGAGAGAGAGAGAGAGAGAGAGTAACAGCAAGAGAGAGTGAGAGAGGGAAAAAGAGCGAGGGAGGGAGGGAGTAAAGGTGATATCACATGCAGTGATCTATTACCTAGTGGAATCTGTATTGCCTTCTTTCTCAGGCAGGCTTTAGATGTGGTTATGTAAGTAAGCAAGGTAGCGTGGTAGAGAAAACAGACCTGTCTCTCTGTTCATTTAGTCAAGCGAGAGGAGAGGAGGGAGGAGAGAAAGAGGGGAGGAAGGTGAAATGACACAGGGACCTTCTGTTGGAGGAGAGGGAGGTTGGAGAGGAGGAGGAGGTGGAGAAACTAACGCTGAGACTGACTTGCCCTCCTGGCCTTTTGGTTTCACCTCTCCATTTCTCATTCTTTCTTTTGAACTGTATTTTGCTCTCTATAAAGTATCGCTCTCTCGCTCTCTCGCTCTCTCGCTCTCTCTCTCTCACTCTCTCTCGTTGTCTCTCTCTCTCTCTCGTTGTCTCTCTCTCTCTCTCTCTCTCTCTCTTTCTCTCTCTCTCTCTTTCTCTCTCTCTTTTCTCTCTCTCTCTTCTCTTCTCTCTCTCTCTCTCTCTCTCTCTCTCTCTCTCTCTCTCTCTCTCTCTCTCTCTCTCTCTTTCTCTCTCTCTCTCAATCTCTTCCCCCTTTTCTATTGGATCAGATATGAGTATTGTGTTGCCAACCAACAAATGTGGTGCTCACAAGTGGAGGTCATGTACAAAGGCAAAAGGATCACCTTTACACGTCTCTCTATCAAATCGGCCAGAAATGGGAACAAACAGAATATCTTCAAAATATCTTCAAATTGCTATTGAGCGTTTCTATTAATAATTGGAGAGATCTGGCTTTTGAACCCCTGAATGAGGATCTGACAGCGCTAGGTGCTGCACAGAATACCTGATCAACAAATCACCTCAACCTCAAAATAGCCAAGCCTGAACTGATCCATATAGTGTAAGGATTAGTAAACTACATGATCCCATGGCACTTGTCGCAAAAGTATGGGGTGTTATCCTTGGTGTCTACCAAATCATCCTTAGCTTCCAATTGGCTCATTCAAGCCCTCTTCTTTCCCCTGCAACTCTTCCCTAGGTCGTTGAAAATAATGTGTTCTCAGCCAACCTGGTAAAATAAGGGTTAGGTATGAACAGGTAGATTGACATGTAACCCAATGGAAACTTTTCATTCCTCACATGAATAAGCTTCCACTTACTAATGATCTGGACATGAGTCATTTGATTGACAGTTATGTAATAATCCCAATCATGTGGGAGTAGCTGCATAACACTCTTAACCCCTGGGTGACCTGTAAAGATCATTACGACAGGGAACAGTGTGTGGGAGCTGAACAAGCCAAGAAGGTTGACCTATGACCTTTGCTTACTAGTGTGTGAGTAAAGTATCAAGTGTAGCCTTAGGTCAGCTCACCTACTACTCACGCATGTGCTCATGCAGGAACGTGTACACACACAAACAGAGGCTCACGCACACAGGCACACACAAGTACTCATGCACTCACACTCACATACCAGACAAACACAGGACCTGTAGATATAATTCAATCTGTAACCATTCTGACACTGACACATGGTTTAGTGCATATTTAGTTTGATGAAAAATATGTTGGTGAGAGAAAGAAAGGCAAACGTCTCTGTCTGTGTGTATGTCTCTGTCTCTGTGTTTGTGCTCACGTCCATCTGTATGTCAGAGAAAGAAAATGAAATAATAATTTAATTTGTGTGTGTGTGTGTGTGTGAGATTGAAGGGCACCGTCTTTGCCCTGCTATTGCCTGGAGCCTCTTGAACATAGAAAAAACATCCAAACAACCTTGCCCTGCAGCAACGGCGTCAGGCTGGAGAGTTTGGAGATCAAACACTATTATTTTCTCTCTTGCAACCACTCTCTCTCTCCCCTTGTTGCCTCTGTACTGGGGAGCGCGCGAGCGGGGACGAGGAGGAGAGCGGAGAGCAGAGGAGAGGCGGGAGGAGAGCGCGAGAGGGCGCGGAGAGCGAGAGAGAGACGCGCGAGCGAGGGGCAAGGGGAAGAAGGGAGGGCGAGGGGCAACGCGGGGCTCGGCGGCTCCGGCGCTCGTAGAGAGAGCGAGAGAGAGAAGAGGAGGAGCGCGATATAGCGCGGAGAGAGGCGAGAAGAGGAGACCCGCTATCTCTCTCTCTCTCTCCTTCTCCCTTCCCTCCCTCTCTCGCTCTCTCCCTTTCCTCTATCTCTCCCTCCCCCTCTCACTCTTCCCTCCTCCCTCTCTCTCTCCCTCTCTCCCTTACTCTCTGCCCAGATGGGGTTTTCCACAACTGCATCTGTATGTCATTCCATAACTACAGTGTCATTTTTATTGATTTAGTTCTTTGAAAGTGAAGAATGCAGCTCATTTGACAGCTCTCTAACCTGGAACCTATGATCACCCTCGCCTCACTCTCTTCCTAACAGGGTTGCCGACTGCAGTAGGAAGCTGAAGAATGTAAGTGTCACCTCTATATTGTATATTTTGTTTGTCCAGTAAACATATGTTTACGCTATGTCCGACTAATGCATGGGTTGGTCAGTCAGTCTGTCAGTCAGTCTGTCAGTCAGTCTGTCTCTCTCTCTCTCTCTCTCTCTCTCTCTCTCTCTCTCTGTCTGTGTTTTCTCTATTTGTGTCATACTTTCTTTCTCTGTATCTCTCCATCCTATCCCTCTCCCTCAATCAGTCCATCCCATTACCGACTCTATCTCACTCCCTCACTCTCCATCTATCTCTTGTCTCTGCTGCTTTAAGATGAGCGAGCGAGCTAGCGTAGCGCTGTTGTCATTCTCTGCAGTGTGAGCAGTGTGAGCTCTCTGCTTGACTTGGCTGGCTATAGTCTACTCTGTAGGCCCCGTCTCCAGCTCTAGCCTCACAGTTGTCCGAGCTGTTTTAGCTGTTTTTGCAGAGGGACATTGAAACGCTACGTTAGACTCAGTCTGCACTGCATGAGAACATCCCATAAACTCACAACAGCTGTAGAGGGAGCTAGCCTGGTGCTAGTGTCGACTGCGGTCTTTTCATTGTAGCAAACTGCAGCAGCATTCAATTATTCATTTTTTTGCTCAGACTCAGAGCACCATCAGACAGAGAAGATAAGATAGGTGGAGAAGTATTTTTGGACTGTTTTGTGAACGCAGCTCGGAAAAGGGACTATTATGCAGGACTGGATGGAATTCTGCTGTCCTTATGCAATGTTAAACTGATGCATGCGTAAACAGTAAGGTATCTATTTTGGTTATGTTGTAGGTATGTTTTAGAGTAAATATTGTTTGGTGTTTTGGTTCTGCAGGTGTGGAACTGCTGCTGGGTGAAGCTGGTGTGTGTGCGTGTGCATGCGTGTGCTCGTGCAAGCGTGTGTGCTCTTGTGCGTATGTTGTTTGCATGCTTGTGTATATGTATGTGTGTGTGCTTGCGACACAAAGAGGTTATTTTCCCGTCCGGAAATAACACATTTTGTCAGGTCTAGTAAAGTGTATCAGAGAAGACAAGCACTGTAAAGTGAAGAGGAGACAGACATACAGAGAGCATGACCTCAGGGCTTTAAAGGTCCCATGCAGCCATTTTTATCTCAATATCAATTTCTGGGTAACAATTAAGTACCTTACTGTGATTGTTTTCAATTAAAATGGTAAAAAATAAACAAAAACAGCTTCTTAGCAAAGGTACATTTCTCAGGTAAGAATTTTGCTCGGTCTGTCTGGGAGTGGTCTGAGTAGGGAGGGGAAAAGTGAAAATTAGCTGTTATTTAGAATAATATATACAGTACCAGTCAAAACTCATCTACTCATTCAAGGGTTTTTCTTTATTTTTACAATTTTCTACATTGTAGAATAATAGTGAAGACATCAAAACTATGAAATATCACAAATGGAATCATGTAGTAACCAAAAAAGTGTTAAACAAATTAAAATATATTTTATATTTGAGATTCATCAAAGTAGCCACCCTTTACCTTGATGACAGCTTTGCACACTCTTGGCATTCTCTCAACCAGCTTCATGAGGTAGTCACCTGGAATGCATTTCAATTAACAGGTGTGCCTTGTTAAAAGTTCATTTGCAGAATTGATTTCCTTCTTAATGCGTTTGAGCCAATCAGTTGTGTTGTGACAAGGTAGGGGTGGTATACAGAAGACAGCCCTATTTGGGAAAAGACCAAGTCCATATTATGGCAAGAACAGGTCAAATAAGCAAAGAGAAATGACAGTCCATCATTACTTTAAGACATGAAGGTCAGTCAATACGGAACATTTCAAGAACTTTGAAAGTTTCTTCAAGTGCAGTCGCAAAAACCATCAAGCGCTATGATGAAACTTGCTCTCATGAGGACCGCCACAGGAAAGGAAGACCCAGAGTTACCTCTGCTGCAGAGGATAAGTTAATTAGAGTTACTAGCCTCAGAAATTGCAGCCCAAATAAATGCTTCACAGAGTTCAAGTAACAGACACATCTCAACATCAACTGTTCAGAGGAGACTACGTGAATCAGGCCTTCATGGTCGAATTGCAGCAAAGAAATCACTACTAAAGGACACCAAGAAGAAGAAGAGACTTGCTTGCGTCAAGAAACACAAACAATGGACATTAGACCGTTGGAAATCTGTCCTTTGGTCTGATGAGTCCAAATTTGAGATTTTTGGTTCCAACCGCTGTGTCTTTGTGAGACGCAGAGTAGGTGAACGGATGATCTCCGCATGTGTGGTTCCCACCGTGAAGCATGGAGGAGGTGGTGTGATGGTGTGGGGGTGCTTTGCTGGTGACACTGTCTGTGATTTATTTAGAATTCAAGGCACACTTAACCACCATGGCTACCACAGCATTCTTCAGTGATACGCCATCCCATTTGGTTTGCGCTTAGTCGGACTATCATTTGTTTTTCAACATGACAATGACCCAACCCACCTCCAGGCTGTGTAAGGGCTATTTGACCAAGAAGGAGAGTGATGGAGAGCTGCATCAGATGCCCTGGCCTCCACAATTACCCGACCTCAACCCAATTGAGATGGTTTGGGATGAGTTGGACTGCAGAGTGAAGAAAAAGCAGCCAACAAGTGCTCAGAATATGTGGGAACTCCTTCAAGACTGTTGGAAAAGGATTCCAGGTGAAGCTGGTTGAGAGAATATGTTTTGATTTGTTGAACACTTTTTGGGTTACTACATGATTCCATATGTGTTATTTCATAGTTTTGATGTCTTCACTATTATTCTACAATGTAGAAAATAGTAAAAAATAAAGAAAAACCCTGGAATGAGTAGGTGTGTCCAAACTTTTGACTGGTACTGTATATATATATATATATATATATATATATATATATATATATATATATATATATATATATATATATATATATATATATATATAAAACACAGGAAAATCATGTTTTTGACTGCACTGGGCCTGCACTGGGTTCCAGCCTCTTGCTGTTTGACAGACAGGTGTTGGACTGACAGTTGCAAGTATCTAGGTTCGAATCCCAGTCAGGCTACCCCCTGCATTCGCTACAATATTTTTGTGATGCTAAAATGCTAATGTGGGTGCGTGTGATGAATGTGAATAGAATATTTTTCCATTCTAGATAACGGGCACTGTACTTGGATGTGCACATTATGTGCGTGGTGTGTGAGGTATGCCTAGATTGTGTACATGTCTGAAAAGTGTGCTTCGAATGACTGTATGCCAAACACATTAAAATCTGTTTTATCAAAGGAATACCCTCGAGATCCTTAGATTACATTGATATTGTAAAACAAAGCAGCCAATCAGTCAGCTTGTTCTTGAAACATAAAAGAGCCTGTGTGATCTCCATATGGCCACAGTAGCAAGCAAGACTGCTGAGTCCACACAGTGGCCTAGCTACATAGAGGGAGATGCGATAGATAGCGGATGAGGTTGGCATAGTAAATTAGTCTGTCAGGGCTACGCTAGCCCAATAATGGACTAGAGGAGCCTAATGTTACCCCTTATAGTCCAAGGACCTTACATGTTCTGTTTAGAAGTGAATTGGCCCTGGCAGCCAAAACAGCCAAATACTCCATCTAAACGTGAATCAATTCTCAAATTGCGATACGGTTCTAGAAACATAAAGCCCTTTACTTTCATATCACATCAAAATAATTTCACAAATGCTAAATAAACACTTCCTGTACACTGTTTTAACCGGGTTTTAACACAGTTGCAACAGACAGTGTTTTCATTGACAACAATTGTCTTCCATTTATACACAGGTGTTCGGCAACACAGATAGATAATTATAACAGGTATGCCTCGTGTCTTCCTTCTGTTTTCCGTAAATAAGCACTGTAACATGGAAATATGGCTATCGTCAATAGGCGCTAAAGGTAGTTAGCCTCTATGAATGGGTTAGGGCTATGCTAGCATGCTAGCATAGTAAATCAACCTTACCCATGTGGCAATGGTAAAGAGAGAGAGAAATATAGCTGTGTGTTCACATTGTGTTCATATTGACCTGAATTGGGGCCAGGACAATGGCTAGGTCTTGTCTTGCTTGTACAGAAACCCCTGGCTAGCCTATTCCAATGATAGTGAAAAGAGTGGACCAAAAAGACCAGGAAGTAAACCCTGTTGGTGGCGATTTTGATAAAACTGTTGTTTGTACTCCTCACAAATTAAAGACAAGTGGAAAGGAGGGTGATATGGTTTGTATGCCATGACTTGACATCAAACAAACACTCAAGGGAGAAAATGGGATAGAGATATGGTATATTTTTACTAACTAATGGGTACAGTGTGCCTTTGAGTCATAGCTGGCATCTATTACATAGACATACAGTGCGTAATGTGGAATTCTCTGATTGTTCTCAGTTGGCTGAGAATGCTTGTGTTACTGTCGGATAGCATTAGCGTTGTGAAGTATACCTTAGAGCTGTCAGGAATTTATTTCGTGGCCTACAGTATGCTAACTTTGCTCATATCAACATAGGTTGATTTTGCGATGGCACTTTGCCAGGTTTACTCAGGAAGTAAACAATTGGTTTTAGTAACAGTTTTTGGAGGGACAAGTGGGACATTGTGCCCATAAAGCATAGATCTAGTAACTCTTCTAATTAGCGCATTAGCAAATGTATAATGCGCTAGCAGACACTTGCATCACTTATTACACACAACTTGCGCACAAGCTATGGAGTATGAGACCACTGGGAATTGGTTAGCCCAAAAGTGCTGCCAAAAGTTCAACTGGGTCAACTGTGTGGTAGGGTCAATTGGCAATGAACTGCCACTAAATTGAAATTACAGAGTGTGACGTTAATGCATTGTCTTGTTAACACTGGCTCTAAATCCTCCTCCTGTTGTAATGATCCTCCCCAGGTTCTGATTACCATATACTGGCTGGGCCGGGCTGCCAACAGCTGCACCTCCTACAACGGGCCCACACTGGACCTGAAGGAGTTCGAAGGCCTGCTGTCACAGATGCGAAAGGTACGTACAGGGATGGACGTAAGGCTAAGACTATATCATAAACCCTGGGGTTTGTGGAGGCTCAGTTGCTTGTGTTCTAGTGCTAGCAATGACAATTCCTCGAAGGGCTGTGTATTTTAGGTACTTTCTGCAGTTGCTAAGTGATTGTACTATTAGGAATATTCGACTAGAAGGCACTGTCCAACCAAAGCTTATGTTTTCTTTGGCAGACATAATGATGATATTATGCAAGCTCCCCTCGGGTGGCATTAATTGTTCAAACTCCTTCTTCTGCATCATACGCTAGGAATGGAGTAATCCCTATGAGAAGGGGAATGTAAGGATATGAGAAGAAGGAGAAAGAAAGAGAGAGAAGAGAGAGGAAGGAACAGAGAGAGGGAGAGAGAGAGAGAAGAGGAAAGAGAGCAGAGAGAGAGGAAGGACAAGCAGGATGAGAGAAAAGAAGGAAAGAGAGAGAGAGAGGAAAAGAGAAGAAGAACCACAGAGAAGGAAAGAGAGAAAGATGAGAGAGAAGGAAAAGGAGACGAGAGAGAGACGAGAGAGGAGGAGAGAGAGGAGAGATGGATCTCTCTCTCTCTCTCTCTCTCTCTTCTCTCCTCTCTCTCCTTCTCTCTCTCTCTCTCTATCACTCTCTCCCTCCTTCCCTCTCTCTCCCTGCTGCTGCCTATCCCTACATATAGAAAACAAGAAAATGGTGCCGTCTGGTTTGCTTAATATAAGGAATTTTAAATTATTTTTACTTTTAGTTTTACTTTTGATACTTAAGTATATTTAAAACCAAATACTTTTTGACTTTTACTCAAGTAGTATTTTACTGGGTGACTTTCAATTTTACTTGAGTCATTTTCTATTACTTTTACTCAAGTATGACAATTGGGTACTTTTTCCACCACTGTCCAGAACCAGTCAGGCCTGTTGGAACCTGGACTGTGGCTTTTGACAGACCTCCAGGGACAGACAGGGACATAGCTGTAGCTACCATTCCCCCCATTCAGAGCGTGATGTCACTCCTCTACCATTTTTTCCATCCCCGCAATTTGACCTCCCCACTGCTATTCTCTTAAAATGAAAAATGACCAATAGGCCTAGAATGCTTTCCCAGATGTCATTTTACTCCACCACAATGGGGCCACGTCTCCACTTAACAAAAGATAACGATAGTGACTTAAAGTGAGAGAGAAATTCAATAGGTTTATGAAATCATGTTATACGCAATACAGGAGATGTAGTGATATGTGTTAGCTGTTGTGGTGGTGAGAGGCTCAAATGATGTAAACGTAATGTTGATGTAGACAAATAGTCATTTAACTTAACAAATAATATTCAGTCAATCCATCAGTTTAATATCCTGTCTGAAAATAAAGTATGATAGTTGATTACCTGAAAATGGCCAATGGGTCCTTTACAGGTTAGTTAGGCTCTCTGAAGGCTAGTCAGTTCAATGGCCACCAGACACATTCCTAAAGTAGGGCTCTAGGTGTATTAGTGCTGGGCTGGAACAAAAGCCTGCACACCATTAGCTCCAGGACCACTGCTGTTGTCTGAGCTCACTCAGGTTTCAGTTTGGGGTTCACAGGACGTGCCACTCAAAGCTAGCCATTGTACCCAAAATACCCACAACCCCTCCCCCCACAAGGTCAGACAAATAGGACCCCAGCATCCTCCTTCACTCGGGATCTGGCACAGAAAGGGGGATGGGAAGGAGGGGAAAGGGGTTGAAGTGGAAGTGGGGGGTGAAGAGGGAGGGAGAGAGGGAGGGGGGAAGGGAAAACAACTGAAAGGGATAGTGGGAGGGCGGGAGAGAGAGAGACTCTGCATGTAGAATTCTGCAAAAACATTGTCCGTGTACAACATAAAACACCAAATAATGCATGCAGAGCAGAATTAGGCCAATACCCGTTAATTATAAAAATCCAGAAAAGAGACGTTAAATTCTACAACCATCTAAAAGGAAGCGATTCCCAAACCTTCCATAACAAAGCCATCACCTACAGAGATATTAACCTAGAGAAGAGTCCCCTAAGCAAGCTGGTCCTGGGGCTCTGTTCACAAACACAAACAGACCCCATAGAGCCCCAGGACAGCAACAGCAACACAATTAGACCCTACCAAATCATGAGAAAACTCAAATATAATTTCTTGACACATTTGAAAGAATTAACCAAAAAACGGAGCAAAGTGGAATGCTATTTGACCCTAAACAGAGAGTACACAGTGGCAGAATACCTGACCACTGTGACTGACCCAAAATTAAGGAAAACTTTGACTATGTACAGACTCAGTGAACATAGCCTTGCTATTGAGAGAGGCCGCAGTTGGCAGACCTGGCTCTCAAGAGAAGACTTGTGGTCCTCTGTAGCTCAATTGGTAGAGCATGGCGCTTGTAACGCCAGGGTAATGGGTTCGATCCCCGGGACCACCCATACGTAAAAATGTATTCACACATGACTGTAAGTCGCTTTGGATGAAAGCGTCTGCTAAATGGCATATTATTATTATTAGACAGGCTATGTGCACACTGCCCACAAAATGAGGTGGAAACTGAGCTGTACTTCCTAACCTCCTGCCAAATGTTGACCATATTAGAGGCACATATTTTCCTCAGATTACACAGACCCACAAAGAATTTGAAAACAAATCCAATTTTGATAAACTCCCGTATCTATTGGGTGAAACACCACAGTGTGCCATCACAGCAGCAAGATTTGTGACCTGTTGCCACAAGAAAAGGGCAACCAGTGAAGAACAAACACCATTGTAAATACAACCCATATTTATGTTTATTTCCCCTTTTGTACTTTAACTATTTGTACATCGTTATAACACTATACATAGCCATAATATGACATTTTAAATGTCTCTATTCCTTTGAAACTTTTGTGAGCTTTTACTGTTCATTTTTTATTGTTTATTTCACCTTTGTTTATTATCTATTTCACTTGCTTGGGCAATGTAAACAAATGTTTCCCATGCCAACAAAGCCCTTTGAATTGAATTGAATTGAATTGAATTGAATTGAATTGAGAGGGAGTGAAGGAGGGAAAGAGACAGAAAGAGAGAGGGGAAGAGAGGGAGCAGGCGAGAGGGGTAAATTAAGGGGATAGAGAGGGGGGTAAAGAGGGGGGTAGGTGGCTGCCAGGAGGGGGAGTGGGAGGGGGGAAAGAAACAGGAGGTTCCTCAGGCAGGTGGGAAGGAAAAGCATTTTCTCAGCCCTGGAAACCAAAGAGGCCACAGACCAGGATACACTGCTGCAGCTTAGAGGCGGACAGAGTGAGACAGAGGTAGAAAATCTATTAAAATCGGAGCGAGGGAGAGGAAGTGAATGTAATTGTCCAGGTTGGCGGAATCATGGTGAGTGAGGGATCCAGATTGGATGGGGTATTGGGATAATCTCAACACAAAAAAATACATTGATGTGGTGCATGTTTTGTGTGTGTGTGTGTGCATTTGTGTGTGTGCATTTGTGTGTGTGTGTTAGGAGGCGGAGGACACAGAGAGCCCCCAACGCAGCATACGGGACAGCGGCTACATCGACAGCTGGGACTCGGAGCGCAGCGACTCGCTTTCCCCACCTCGCCACGGCCGAGAGGACTCCTTCGACAGCCTGGACTCATTCGGGTCACGCTCCAGACAGACGCCCTCGCCGGACGTACTGGTCACCCACAGCATCGGCAGTGATGGTAGGACACTAGACCCCCGGACGGGTCACACCACACACACCAGTCACATGCTTTTACTGTCTCATACTTTCTAGTGCTACCTGGGTCATATTCACAAGAAACGAAACAGAAAAAAATGGACAGAGACGGGGAGGGGCTACCTGAACTTGAACTCTCATTTTCATTGTGAAAAACATGTTCTGTTGTTAAAGGTTTTGCTACGGTGTGTTAAGGTGTGCACTAATGAATACGACCCTGTTGTGTTATAGTGTCTTTCCGCTTGCATAGCTGTAACTCTTTTGTTCATGTATCATCATAGCACGTAGTGACTTACCTTCATCCTCCACCAATGTTTTACTCTGTGCACTTCAATGATGCATGGCAGGCATTTTGGCACATACAGTATCATTGGGGAAGGTGTTGGAATAGTCACCATCAGCTGACGTGAAACTAGCTGTCCCAATCGGCTCTTTTCAACCTCTCCCGTCTCATATCAATGAAATCATCTGGCAGGGTGTCTTCTAGCTCAGCCCAGCTCTGCTATTGAAATCTGTACAAAGGCGGTTTTGTGTTGTTGCTTTCTCGGCTGACTGTTTAGGGCTGTTGCCATGGGTTACATCTCTTTGAAGGCCCTCTTGAAGAGACATGTGTTGAGAGAGAGAGAGAGAGAGAGAGAGAGAGAGAGTGAGAACATTGAAATCAGGTGGTGGAGAGAGGAGATGACAGTCTTGACTGATGGGTTGCAACATATTCCAGCTGAGTTGTTTTTTACATGGCATCTCTTCATCTGTTCCAATCTGAGTGGTGTTGCACAAGATGATGATACCTGGGACTGATACCTATCAGTCACAGTGGGATAAGAGTGTTTCTGCCTGTCATATAGGGGCACACTCAATCTTGTGCCTATATTTTTATGCATGCACATGCAAACACACACACACACCATTAATGATTGATATAGTCCCTCTCCTCTCTTATACAGTCCTACAACACCCTTGGGCTAACTGGAGCTAGTGGTTAAATTCAGGGTCGCAACTTTGGTTTTAGAGGTGGGGGGGACCAAACCTAGTGGAGGGTCATCTAAAGGATCATTTCCTGCATTTCTACTCAATTTAACATGACCCATGGCCTTGTAGCAAAAATGGCCACAGTCATCAAGCTAGGGAAGAGATCATAAAAAATTTAAATAAAAGATTGATAAAAGACCAAACAAAGGTAATTTGATAAACAACAATGAGCACGGTTACATGCACACAATAATACGATTGTTGTGGATAGTCAGATTAATTTAATAGTTTGTTTAAAGTGTTTACATGCTTTGCATATAGAACGATTTCCCTAATAATCCTGTTTACCTGACACATCTGAAATCAGGCTACCTGATGGGACTTTGGATAAATGCACAAAAGGCAATCAAAATAAACGTTCTACCACAGTGACCGTGTTATTTTTTAGAAGACTATTTGATTCTGAGTTCGGATATATAAAGTTTGTATGTGAAAACTTTTCATAAGATGCATATTTTAAGTTTTTCCGAACTCACTTCACTCGCATAAGAGGGAGGCTTGCCCTACCGGTGCTGGCACATGCCCATATCAAATGCACCACTGGAACGCTGATTAAGCTGTTTACATGTCCTAATAATTTGAAAGATTGCTCATAAAACCAGGTGTTTTAATCTGTGTATGCTCACTTCAATTTTGACCTGACGCCGATTAAGATAAGCAGAGTGTCCACATCACCAACAAACTATCATGGTCCACACGCCAAGACAGTCATGAAGAGGGGACGACAAAGCCTATTCCCCCTCAGGAGACTGAAAAGATTTGGCATGGGTCCTCAGATCCTCAAAAAGTTCTACAGCTGCACCATCGAGAGCATCCTGACTGGTTGCATTACTGCCTGGTATGGCAACTGCTCGGCCTCCGACCGCAAGGCACTACAGAGGGTAGTGTGTACGGCCCAGTACATCAGTGGGGCCAAGCTTCCTGCCATCCAGGACCTCTATACCAGGCGGTGTCAGAGGAAGGCCCTAAAAAGGGTTAAAGACTCCAGCCACCCTAGTCATAGACTGTTCTCTCTGCTACCGCACGGCAAGTGGTACCGGAGCGCCAAGTCTAGGTCCAAAAGGCTTATTAACAGCTTCTACCCCCAAGCCATAAGACTCCTGAACAGCTAATCAAATGGCTAACCGGACTATTTGCAAACTTTTTAATCTAGCCTTAGAAATACTGTAACAATAAAAATATGTCAAATCAGGTAAGGCCAAATTTCAGCCTGAATGAGAATGCTAGAGTGATTGAAATGCATCAGAGAGGTATTGAAAGGTTCAGGAAAGCAGAAGGAAGATCATCAGGATCGTTATGAATTTAATCTTTCTTAGAACAGAATATCAATTAATTTCCCTGAGTCATTATGTGGGTTTTTGTCACAGTCCGTTCTAACAAGTCCTGCGTAGCTTGTGGGCATTGTAGAGGGCAGAATAAGGCACATATATGTTCCTGAGAGGCTTACCTTTCAGGAATGGGATTATAGTAGCTAATAGCCCAAACCGTTCAAACGCTAGAGCCAAACTCATAGGAAGAAAACAAATTCAACATGCCTCACTGGCTTTAGAAAACTATTGGTTACAGAGTCAAACAGCCTGACCGCCAGCTCCAAGGACCCGCATGGTCCTAAAACACACCTGTGCCGTTTTTTGTATCACCCCCCGCCCCTGGTTAAATTGCTATACTGGCACCATAGCAGCAAACAGCTTGCTACTGAGGACCAGCTTCTGTATAGCAGCTGCAACAGTATATCTATCAATGTCATCCCAACAGAGGAACTCGCTCCATCAAACACAACAGAAGAAAAATATATGATATGTATGTTTTATGTATTTTCCAGGCATGGAAAGAGAAGCCAAGAAAACTCTTATGCCCTGTATTTTAAAGCCCTATGATTGATTGTCCTACCAGGGCATTTTAAAAACCTGATTGTTCAAGGGAGACTGAGCAAGAGTGAGGCCTAACCATAACCGCACAAGCCTGTCCAGAGAGACTTTAGCCTGCTTTCATCTTTTAATATACATGTGTGCATGTGCACACAAACACACACACATATTTTTGGAGCTGCCTGTCCACCTTTGACCTTTGCAGCTCTGTTATGTTTCAAGTTTTTATTGCCACATGCACTAGTACAGTGAAATACCTTTCTTGCTTGCTCTTTCCCAACAATGCAGTAATCAATATCAGTCAGTAGTACTATAACAAATCAAATAAAAAGTCAAGTGGAACAAAAACATTAAAGAAATCGAAATAAGAAGAACACGGAAAAGTAAAAAGTTCCAGGGTCAGTAGCTATATATAGGGTCAGTTCCAGGGTCAGTAGCTATATACAGGGTCAGTTCCAGGGTCAGTAGCTATAAATAGGGTCAGTTCCAGGGTCAGTAGCTATATACAGGGTCAGTCCCAGGGTCAGTAGCTATATACAGGGTCAGTTCCAGGGTCAGTAGCTATATATAGGGTCAGTTCCAGGGTCAGTAGCTATACAGTGGATTGAGAAAGTATTCACCCCCCTTGGCATTTTTCCTATTTTGTTGCCTTCAACCTGGAATTAAAATGGATTTTGGGGGGGTTTGTATCATTTCATTTACACAACATGCCTACCACTTTGAAGAAGCAAAATATTTTTTATTGTGAAACAAACAAGAAATAAGACAAAAAAAACAGAAAACCTGAGCGTGCATAACTATGGACAGATACTCCAATCTCCGCTGTGGAGCTTTGCAGCTCCTTCAGGGATATCTTTGGTCTCTTTGTTGCCTCTCTGATTAATGCCCTCCTTGCCTGGTCTGTGAGTTTTGGTGGGCGGCCCTCTCTTGGCAGGTTTGTTGTGGTTGCATATTCTTTCCATTTTTTAATAATGGATTTAATGGTGCTCCGTGGGATGTTCAAAGTTTCTGATATTTTTTTTATAACCCAACCTGTACTTCTCCACAACTTAGTCCCTGATCTGTTTGGAGAGCTCCTTGGTCTTCATGGTGCCGCTTGCTTGGTGGTGCCCCTTGCTTAGTGGTGTTGCAGACTCTGGGGCCTTTCAGAACAGGTGTATATATAATGAGATCATGTGACAGATCATGTGACAGATTGTACACAGGTGGACTTTATTTAACTAATTATGTGACTTCTGAAGGTAATTGGTTGCACCAGATCTAATTTATTTGTTAGAATTTTTCATTTTACTTCACCAATTTGGACTATTTTGTGTATGTCCATTACATGATATCCAAATAAAAATTAATTTTAATTACAGGTTGTAATGCAACAAAATAGGAAAAACGCCAAGGGGGATGAATACTTTTGCAAGGCACTGGTCATTTCCAGGGTCAGTAGCTATGTACAGGGTAAGTTCCAGGGTCAGTAGCTATATATAGGGTCAGATCCAGGGTCAGTAGCTATATACAGGGTCCGTTCCAGGTTCAGTAGCTATACATAAAATAGTTTTTTTTCCCCTCATCAATCTACACACAATACCACCTAAATAACAAAGCGAAAACAGGTTTTAGAAATGTTTGCAAATTTAAAAAAATTAAAAACAGAAATACCTTATTCACATAAGTATTCAGACCCTTTGCTATGAGACTCGAAATTGAGCTCAGGTGCATCCTGTTTCCATTGATTCTTTTTTCATTTGCAAAAATGGCTGAAAACCTGTTTTTGCTTTGTCATTATGGGGTATTGTGTGTAGATTGATGAGGAATATTATTTATTTAATCCATTTTAGAATAAGGCTGTAACGTTTTTTAATTTTTTTTTTATTTCACCTTTATTTAACCAGGTAAGCCAGTTGAGAACAGGTTCTCATTTACAACTGCGACCTGGCCAAGATAAAGCAAAGTAGTGCAATAAAAACAACACAGAGTTACATATGGGGTAAAAAAACATAGTCAGAAATACAACAGAAAATATATATACAGTGTGTGCAAATGTAGCAAGTTATGGAGGTAAGGCAATAAATAGGCTATAGTGCAGAATAATTACAATAGTATTAACACTGGAATGCTAGATGTGCAAGAGATGATGTGCAAATAGAGATACTGGGGTGCAAAAGA